GGACGTTGTGAGTTTGTGTAGATAGCCAAAGGAGTCTGGTGGTTGTTCTGGCGCTCTCGAAATGGCACCGTCTGCTAGTCCATTGTGACCGCTCATGGTTTCGGAAACATCGACGCTAGTGATTAGGTTTGCTGGGGCTCGAGCGCGAAGATGAGCAATCGAAGTAAGCACAAATGACTCATGACGGATTGGATACGCGCTGACGTTAGGAATTCATTCGCGTTGTAAAATGCCATTGTGCTGCAAGGGGAGCATCTGTCCTTAGATGGGTCAACGTCTTGCCAGAAGGAGAATCTAAGATGCTTCATACAAGCTAACAAGGCGTCTTAATCGAACTCGGACAGGAACCGGTGTGCGCGCAGCTTCGAAGGCGACGCCAGCGCCTGCACTCGCGCAGTCTATTTGAACGAACCGGGCCGTGGATCTGACAGGATTCTAGTGCCGATATTTCCTCCGCGACAGGTTGAACGAGAACGTTTCGACGTTTGCCATCGTCGCGACCAAGGTGGGGTGGAACAATCGATATTGTCAGCATCGAAATGAAGCCGGAAGATCGACCGCGAGTTGAGACAAGGGTGAATTCGCATCAAAGCCAAGCGATCGGGCTACATTACACCGCCGACAATGCGAACCCGATTAGAATACCACCAAATCTCTCAGCAAGTTAAACATCAAGTAAGTCGATGGGTAGGCCTAACGGCGACGAGAATTGGGTTGTCAAGCTAAGCTAGAGCGACCAAGATCCCAACATAGATTGCGCGGTCACATCTGCCGTCCGTCACCAACGTCAGCCCTATTATGTTCATGCACTGTGGCGGTAACCTCCGGGCGAAGTATCATCTTGGATCAGGGGAGCAATCGGATGAGGCGGGCGCCTTGTCAAAGATCAAGGGACACTCTAGACGAAACGAAGAAGCCCAAGAAGGCCCGACTCCCACAGACTAGCGAATAAACTCAGCGCTTGGACTGGGTTAAATTGCCCACACCCCATGAACATGATCGCTTCGGTCCGTATACTCTGGAGGGCACTGCGAAACCTGGCTTGGAGAGCGTTGGCATGAACCGCGAAAGAGAGTTGTTCGCCGTTTCGAGTCCACGCCACGGCCAAATGTTAAGCTTTGGGGCTTGGACACCGACGTAGACCGACGAAAGACCACTAAGTAGGGCAGTGGCCAATATGAGAGGTATGTAAGGACTGCATCCTCGTGAGAGTTGCAGCATCCATCACTCGCATATCCTGCAAGCTTCCATTCAACCTCTTTTTTGACATTTTTGGCTACTCGCCGTCCTCTCTTTCAACATGCGCTTCTCAAACGCCGCCGCTCTCTTCTCTCTGGCCTCTGTAGGCTCGGCTGCTCCAGCCGTCCATGCCCACAAGCACGCACACGCACGTGATCTCGGCTACGGTGGTGGTTACGGTGGTGGTCAGTACCAGTCTGGTATCTTCTACACCAACTGGGCCATCTACGCGCGCAAGCACATGGTCACCGACCTCCCAGCCGACAAGCTGACCAAGGTCAACTACGGTTTCGCGAATGTGAACAACCAGACTGGCGAGATCATCCTTTCTGACGAGTGGGCTGATACCCAGTTCCCCTACCCCGGAGATGTCGCCACCAACGGTACCCAGCTGCTTGGTAACTTCAACCAGCTTTACAAGCTCAAGCAGCAGAACCGCAACCTGAAGGTCATCCTCTCAGTCGGTGGCTGGAGCTTCAGGGGCAACTTCAAGCCTGCTCTTGCCACTGCCGAGGGCAGACAGAAGTTCTGCGACAGTGCCATCCAACTCATCGCCGACTTGGGCATTGATGGCCTCGACGTCGACTGGGAGTACCCAGAAGATGAGACTGATGGTGACAACTTTGTCGACACTCTCATGCGCTGCCGCCAGGTACGAATCATGTCCTCAAGATTCGAATATTAGCAGAACTAACGCCCTAACAGACTTTCGATGCTTACTCTGCTGTGAACGCCGCCGGCTACCACTTCGACATCGGCATTTCCGCCCCAGCTGGTCCCGAACGTTTCGTCGTTATGCCCATTGCCAGGATGGACCCTTACGTTGACAACTGGAACCTGATGGCCTTCGACTACCAGGGCCCCGGTTTCTCCAACTACACTGGACACCTCAGCAACGTGTACCCCAGCTCCACCAACCCCAAGTCCACCGACGGCTGGAACAGCAAGACAAAGTCATTTGTTCCTTTCAACACCAAGCAGGCCATCGATTACTACAAGATGATCGTCGCTTCCCCCTCCAAGATCCAGCTCGGTATGCCCCTCTACGGTCGCGGATTCGCCAACGTCATCGACATGAGCAAGGACCAACGCGGTCTCGGCCAGAAGTTCAACGGATCTACTGCAGGAACCTGGGAGCCCGGTACCCTTGACTACAAGGTTCTTCCCGTCAACGGCAGCAAGGTCTACACCGACAAGGAGACTCTGGCCAGCTGGAGCTGGGACCCTGTCGCTAAGGAGCTCGTCACCTTCGACACACCCAAGGTCGCCTCCTGGAAGACTGACTACTTGATGAAGGAGGGTCTCGGTGGTGCTTGGTGGTGGGAGTCATCTGGTGACTTCCCGGCCACCAGCGACAAGAGCATCGTTTCTACTGTTGTCAAGAAGCTTGGTGGTCCCGAGAACTTTGTCCAGAACATGAACAACCTGTACTACCCCAAGTCCAAGTACTACAACATCCGCCCATCGGCCAACTCTACCTTGAGCCTTTTCTAGATAGTTGGCTGCGAGCGTCTTTGGCGCTGTAATGCGATCAGCTAGTCGATCACTGGTTTGGCACTTCCTTTCTTGAGAACCTTATTTTAGAAACCTTTTCACTTGCAATGTTGCTGCAAGACCTTAATGCAAGACACGCACGTGATGCAAATTCACGAGAAGCTCGCTCAACGAGTTAATAGACGTTTGACTTGACCATAGTTACCTTCCCTGCTCTTTCTTGACCTTGTGATACTGTTGAAACATGTCCCACATAGGAGCAGTCTCCGGGCTGGAGCACTGTCATCACCGTGTAGCCAACCTCGTAGTCTCATGCACGAGTAAGTGAATTTCTTCGATGCTAGAGCGCGCAGCTGAAGTTTGGTGTGGAGACAGAAGGAAGTCGTGGTGATGCGTCATCCCCGCCAAACTAGCCCAGAAGGCCACGCGCAAACGATGCGGCTGCGATCGGACCCACTTCCGAAGGAAGACTGGTTTGTACAACCCCACCAACATGAATGCCATCATATCACGATATTCCAATCAGCTCAGGAGCCTCTGCAAGCTGCCAGGAGCTAACGGTATCCAGATCTGCTTGCGTGCGACACGATCGTTGAACAGCATGTCTCAGCCCGTGCGACCGCGGCGGTTTGCACCATTGGATCCTGCGAAAAAGAAAGAAGGTGACACGAGACCACTGTTGAAGGGGATCGTGTTTGACGTGGACGGCACATTATGTGAGTGTTTTGAGAACGTACACGAGGTATGTCTTCAAGTACTGAATGACTTAGGTTTACCTCAAAACTACATGTTCGCGGAGATGCGATCAGCCTTGGGCATCGAGAAGCCGACGGACATCCTGGACCACATCTATTCACTACCCGAGGGCGAGCAAGAAGAAGCACAAGAGAAGATCCGGAACATTGAGCGCACCGCAATGAAGTCGCAACAGCCGCAGGCTGGGCTCGTGGAGCTCATGGAATATCTGGACTCTCGTGGCATCAAGAAGGGCATCTGCACACGCAACTTCGACGCACCCGTCACTCATCTTCTTACTACTTTTCTGCCAACGTCAAAATTCAGCCCTGTCGTGACGCGAGAGTTCAGGCCACCCAAACCTGACCCGGCAGGCATTCTGCACATTGCAAAGGACTGGATGCACGAGGACGGAGGAAAGAGTCTGATCATGGTTGGCGATTCGATTGACGACATGACGGCTGGTCATCGTGCGGGAGCTGCGACTGTGCTGCTAGTCAACGACGTCAACAAGCATCTTGCGGAGCACCAGCACACGGATCTCGTCGTTCAGCGGCTCGATGATCTCATCGGCATCCTTGAGAGTGGCTTCGAGGGACGCGTAGAATCTAGCGAAGAGAAGTAGATGCAAGAGGGCAGGTGAGGAAGCTGTCTGTCAGAGCTGGCGTGCGATACGCATCAACGAAGTCCGTTAATATGCGTCTTGAGACATCGTGCCCGTACTGTCCGTTGCTTAGATGGTTACTGGAGCAACTTCGCCGCGATGGTTGGGCCAGGCTGCGTCCAGGCCGAGGTGCAGCACAGGCCGCCCGCTCGAGCCCCGCGCTATGTAACCTGTCAGTGCCAACCCGCCACCGCCAATGCCATGAAGCTCTCACAAGCATTCTTGCGCTGCACACTATCCGGGACAAGGCACTGACACCATGAACAAGCCCACGCTTCTTTTCGCCCAATGTCCAGATTTTGTAAGCATGACTCCAGGTTCGTTCTGCTAGAAGGAGCACAGATCCGCGCAGCATGCATCCCTTTATTACCATACCAATAGCCGGCTCATGCATGCAGTGCGCTGATCTCCAGGCTGGCTTCAGATTTATTGAGCCGATCCGCACCATGGAGCCCTGCAATGAACAGCGATACCCATCCCCATAACTGTAGGGAGCGGTACGGACTGCTGGCTATATTCGGAGACAACCGCCAGAGGCAAAGGGGAAGGTGCTTCAGAACGTTGTTACCCAGACACGGCCGGGGGTGATCAGTCGTCACTCCAATCAGGAGCCGATCACGTTGATCCCGGGAGCTACCTGCATCATGTACTTGAAACATCTGGATACGATAGGCCACCCAGGTGACTACGCTGGGTGTCTAAATCTCCACGGCTTGGCAGCCCAGTATATGTTTGCTCTTGCCGTGGTTATCATCGCAGTTTCCAACCCATCCGTCGCTTTCGTTTGCTGCCAAGCAACCAGGGTCGAGCATACACCCCCTTCTGTCCTGCCACTTCTGGTTCCAAACGATCAACGTCGCCGGCTAGCATGAGGTACACCACCGCTGCCTTCACAGGCCTACTGGCCATTTCTGGTGTCAGCGCTGGATCTACCTCTCGTACTTCTCACATCGAGGGCAACGAAGTTGTCGAACGTCTGAACACTGTACCTGAGGGATGGAGCGAGATTGGTGTTCCAGCGCCCGAGCGCAAGCTCCATTTCCGCATTGCAGTACGCTCGGTAAGTCGTCACGAAGCATATCAGGAAGGCCTTCATGGTTGAGATATTGAAAGTCGAATACTGATCATCGCAGGCAAACCCAGACCTGGTTGAGAGGACGCTCATGGAGGTTTCAACTCCCAGCCACCCCCGCTACGGCCAGCACCTTAAGCGAGACGAACTGAAGGATCTCATCAAGCCAAGAGCCGACTCAACTGCAAATGTGCTCAACTGGCTCGAGCAATCCGGCGTCGAGCCTCGAGACATCCAGAATGACGGCGAATGGATCAACTTTCTCGCTCCTGTGAAGCGCGCAGAACAGATGATGGGCACCACGTTCAAGACCTACCAGAGCCAGGCACGCCCTGGGGTCAAGAGGACTCGTTCGTTGGGCTACTCTGTCCCCGTGGAGGTTCGCAGCCACATTGACATGATCCAACCTACTACTCGCTTCGGGCAAATGCGCGCCGAAGATAGCCAAGTCCTCACCCAGGAAATTGCACCTTTCTCCAAGCTTGCTGCTGTTAATGCCACGTGCAACACAAGGATCACGCCTGCTTGCCTCGCGGACCTATACAACTTCCAGGACTATGACGTTAGCGACCAGGCCAACGTAACGATCGGAGTGAGCGGGTTCCTTGAGCAATATGCCCGTTTCAACGATCTTGACCTGTTCACACAGAGGTTTTCTCAAAGTCTCGCTGGTAAAAGCTTTGGAGTACAGTCTGTCAACGATGGACCATTTCCCCAGAACTCATCGGCCAATAGCGTCGAGGCCAATCTCGACATTCAGTACACAGCCGGCCTGGTGAACATATCAACCACGTTTTACACTGTTCCAGGACGAGGACTGTTGGTTCCTGATCTTGATCAGCCCGATGAGGACGACAATAACAATGAACCCTACTTGGATTTCTTCACTTACCTTGTGGGTCTGGAGGACGAAGAGCTGCCCCAAGTACTAACCACTTCGTACGGTGAGACGGAGCAAAGCGTCCCTGCCGAGTACGCCAAGAAGGTCTGCGATATGATCGGTCAGCTCGGTACTCGTGGTGTCTCAGTCATCTTCTGTAAGTATTCGTTCGAGCTTGGAGGCGAAAATGCCCCCAGACGTCATCAGCCGCGATGTCTGGGAGTAGTGTCGTCTCTAAACTCAATCCTCACCCAAACTTTCCATCGATATGAACTCTGTGCTAACAACACTCAGCCAGCGGTGATACTGGTCCAGGCTCTGCTTGCCAGACCAATGACGGCAAAAACACGACCCGTCTTCAGCCAATCTTCCCCGCCTCATGCCCCTACGTCACCTCCGTGGGTGGCACTCGCGGAGTAGAACCTGAGCGTGCTGTTGATTTCTCTTCTGGCGGATTCTCTGATCTGTGGCCCCGCCCAGCGTACCAAGAGAAAGCAGTTTCCGACTATCTCGGTAAGCTCGGGTCTCAATGGGAAGGCCTCTACAATCCCAACGGCCGTGGATTCCCTGACGTCGCCGCTCAAGGACTAGGTTTCCAGGTAAGTTATACTCCCTGTACGAACTGCATGTGAGACAAATACTGACTTTCCTTCTCTAGGTCGTTGATAAGGGTCGACTGTCGTCCGTTGGAGGAACCAGTGCCTCAGCGCCCGTCTTCGCTTCGGTCGTTGCGCTTCTCAACAACGCTCGCATGGCGGCTGGCATGCCTTCACTCGGTTTTTTGAACCCTTGGATCTACGAGCAGGGCTACAAGGGTTTAAACGACATTGTCGATGGAGGCTCCCGTGGTTGCACTGGTCGTTCCATCTACTCCGGACTTCCAACCGCACTTGTGCCTTACGCTTCCTGGAATGCGACTGAGGGATGGGATCCTGTGACCGGTTATGGTACACCCGATTTCGAGCAGCTGGTTCGTCTCGTGACTGCGCCGCAGTACGGTCAGCGCCGCGTTCGTCGTGGAGGCCTACGTGGAGAGGCATAGTGCAGGCAAAGACTTGTGACTTTATTTACCTAGATAATCCTCCATCAATAGAGCAATTCCTATCGAGCAATTGACACCCTGGAGCCTATCTTGACACGACAATTTCCAATCTGCTTGCTTTCTTTCAATGTAGTCTTCAATGTCACAACGCGCCCCTCAGTGACGATGGCGGCTTCTCCGGGTGCGCGACCAATCGGCCACTCAACCCGCGGAAGCCACCACCGACTGTTGCTGACACTCTCACAAACCTTGAACGCACCTCAGCCCATAATCCTACAGACATTATTCCAATAGTTGTTGCTTCAGATGCCTTAGACAAGACCCAAAAAGCCCATATGTTTAATTGACCACATTGTTTTGGTCACAGCGACCCGCCACAGCATCGATTTTCGCGAGCTTCCCCATGCGGTTAAAGCGCACAAGACTTATCTGCGCCGAAGCCTGACAAGCATCCGCCATGGTGCTTGATCCTTCGACACCTGTATGGGAGCGATTTTCTCGAAGCCAATTTTGCCCAATCACGCAGCTCGACCATCCTTTGCCCCAGTACCTGACGACGCGCACTGAGCCTACCGTGGCCCCGGATCGCGGCCAGAGATAAGAGTTGGTATCCAACGAGCCCGAAGAGATAGTTCCCCGTCCACTATCAAGAAATACGAAGTGGACCTGCCAGTGCTTGAAGGCAGTGGCGGCATCTTTGGCGGGCCTTGGAGAAGCTTTGCGCCGTTAGCTTCGGTCCGCCAGTGTGGTCGGGTGTCTAGTCGCATGCATTCCCCGCCTCTATCGCGGTCGTACCTGGGAAACAGTACCAGCATCATGAGCAATCGCAGCAATATCGATACCCATCGCGCTATGTTCAAACGTCAAGTACACAACTTCGCGATCGTGCGCATACAAACATAGTAGAGTTTAACGGAACTCACGAGCAGGGTCAAGCGTTGAAATCATTTCGGTGTGCTTCGGGCGTAAGCAACAATGTGCGACGGGACTTCACGCCTGCCTAATCAGGTAAAGAGCTAGAGCTATGTTCGCCATGAGCTATCTATGTTTGTGCAGGTACAGGAAGATGTAGGCCGCGTCGCGTGCGTGGTAGACCCGAAGTGACGTCGGTCTGGCGCTCCATGCTTTTACTTCAAGAAGGCTGGGCTGCCCGCTCGGTTCGCTCTTCTTCACGGCCATTGATAGTCACAGCACGAGCTTGACTAACGAACAACCCCGGCACTGCGATCGCGAAGCACGTCAAGATGCAGCTTCTTTCACTCCTCGCTGTTGGCGGCCTCACGGCTAGCGTTTCTGCACGAAGCGCTCGATCTGTCGGCAAGAAGACGGAACTTCCTCGTCCTCGTCTGACTGTCCCCGAGACCAGTCTTCGCCCTCACAAGCGTCAGACCACTCAGATAATCACCACTGAGGCATCCAAGGGTATGGTAGATACTACCTGCTACACAACACTAGCTAATGATACCCAGCATTCGCTGTCAACGGAACTGCGGGAGCGATTCCCGACGTCGATTTCGACATTGGCGAGTCCTACGCTGGTCTTTTGCCCATCAGTGACGCCGCCAACGAGACCTCCGAACTGTACTTCTGGTTCTTCCCATCCGAGAACCCAGACGCAGATGACGAGATTACTATCTGGCTGAACGGTATGAGCAGTCATAAGTACATGTCTGATCCCCTCTAACACATCTTATAGGTGGCCCAGGTTGCTCTTCTCTAGAGGGATTCCTCCAAGAGAATGGACCAATCTCCTGGCAATACGGCAGTGGCCCCGCAGCCGTATACAACCCCTGGAACTGGGCCAACCTCACCAACATGGTCTGGGTTGAACAGCCCGTAGGAACCGGATTCACCCAAGGAAACGCTACCGCTACCTCCCAGGAGGAGACCGCCGAGGAGTTCCTCGGCTTCTTCAAGAACTTTGTCGACACATTCGGTCTGCAGAACCGCAAGGTGTACATCACTGGCGAGTCGTACGCCGGACGCTACGTCCCTTACATCGCCGATGCCATGTTGAGCAAGAACGACTCCTGCTACTACGACGTCAAGGGCATCATGTTCTACGACCCCAGTGTAGCCGAGGACGTCCTGCTAGAGGACATCCCAGCTGTCCCCTTCGTCGACCAATGGGCCGGTCTCTTCAACTTCAACCAGACCTTCATGGACGACATCCACAACCGCTCCGAGGCCTGCGGCTACACTGAGTACATGGAGAAGTACCTTACTTTCCCTCCTCCCAGCAAGCTCCCGTACCCCGAGAAGGACGCCCAGACCGAAGGCTGCGGGCTGTGGGAAGACATCTACAACGCCGTCTTCTACACCAACCCTTGCTTCGACGTCTACGCCATCGCCACCACCTGCCCTCTCCTCTGGGATGTTCTCGGTTTCCCCGGTTCTTTCGACTACCTCCCTCCCAACACCGAGATCTACTTCAACCGTACCGAGGTCCAGAAGGCCATTAACGCGCCTATCCAGCCCTGGGCTGAGTGCTCCAACGGCGTCCTTGACACCGACTCGTCTCCCCAGTCGTCCTGGGAAGTTATCCCCCGCGTCATCGACGCCCTAGACCGCACCGTCATCGCACACGGCGAGCTCGACTACATCCTGCTCTACAACGGTACTCTTATGGCTATCCAGAACATGACTTGGGGCGGCATGCAAGGTTTCCAGAACCCGCCTGTCGATGACTTTTACGTCCCTTACCACGACGACTTGAGCCTTACCAGTTTGAGCGCCAAGGGCCTCATGGGCAAGACTATCACTGAGAGGAAATTGACGTACGTCCAGCAGGCTCTGAGTGGACACATGGTACCCCAGTACCAGCCCAGCAGCGCGTACCGCCAGCTTGAATTCTTGCTTGGACGTATTGAGAGCTTGACCAGCCGGGAGCCTTTCACCACGCTGCCCAAGATCCCACAGAGCAACGATACTAGTGTTGTGTCTAGGGATTTGGGATCCATGGGTGGAGACTTCAAGAAGTGGTTCTAGACTATTACTATGCGCTTTTAATGGTATAACGCAATGAACGCGACTACGTAATCAACTCACGAAGCATGTGTAACGTCTGCGTGGATTGATTGCTCTACTGTGATATCGAAACAACACTAACCGGCAACGTTCTCAGCCACCCTCCGCCCATCTTTACCCAGCACGCCTTCTTGTCTCTGTGCCCTCTCCTCCGGCACTTCAGCAAAGATCTTGGTGATGGCCTCAATGGTGGTATTTCCCCCACTGAAGACGACGCCAATGTTCCAGCCCTTGTCCCCAGCCTCTCTCTCCACCATCTTCCTGAAGTCCTCGTTGTACAGTATAGTCGCCAGACCCACGACCGCGCTCGGCTCGACAAAACACTTCATTCTCTCCAACACCAGCTTCATCGCATCTTTGATGTTCTGCTCCGTGACGGCGTAGAGACTATGCACGTATTCCTTGTTCGAAATAACACCCCATGTATGGTCACCGAGGGGCGTACGCAGGCCATCGGCGATGGTCAGGGTCTTGACGCTGGTAACGCGTTCGCCCGCTTCGACGCCTCTCCTCGCATCGTCACCACCCTGGAAACTAGGTTCTGCGCCGAAGACGCGTACCCCAGTGCCGTGGAGAGCGACTGCGATGCCGCTCAGCATGCCGCCGCCACCACAGGGCGCGATGACTGCGTCGAGCTTCTCGCCGCTTCCCAGAAGCTTGCTGATTTGATCCTGTATCTCCAGCGCCATGGTGCCCTGACCGAGTATGATGTGGGGATGGTCGTAGGGAGGGATCAGGGTAGCGCCTGTGTCCTTGATTACGTCTGCAACGACGGCTTCGCGTTCGGTGCTCGTGGAGCCGGAGAAGTGGATGTTGGCGTCTTGTGACCGCGTGCCTGCTATCTTTGAGGGCGTGGATATGGAGGGCATGACGATGTGCGCGGGTATTGAGAAGGTTCTTGCGGCAAGCGCAAGGGCCTGCGCATGGTTTCCTGTTGATGTCAGTCCTGCCTGCCTGTTCTGGTCATGAGTTTACGTACCGCTGCTGTGTGTGACTACTCCCTTGCTCTGCACTTCTTCCAGTCCATCCCGCTCGATCAATCGCGTGACGGCATGGAAAGCGCCGCGTACTTTGAATGCGCCGATGCGCTGGAAGTTCTCGCACTTGAAAAAGAGGTTCACCTTGGGCTTAGCGGGCTCTTGACCTTCCCATTGTGTTCCTTGGAGTGCTTCCGGAGCCTGAGGCGTATTGGCGAGAGTGTTCAGGGTGGTGTTGGTCAAGACGGGCGTGTCGTGGATGTGCGGCTTGATGAGGGCGTGGGCGGCTTCGACCGAGGCGCGCGTCAAGGAGGCATGGGGGGCTGCGGAGGACATGGCTGCCACTGAAGAGAGCGATGATGAGTTGGATGCATCCTGAATAAGACTGTTCAAGAGGTGAGTCAATGAACGACACGGGTACGATGGTGGGGAAGATAGCGCGCGGAGGAAGGTAAGGCAGACCGCGGGGGAAAGCTCCGCGCGGGTCGCGCCTTCTGGCCCAACACGCGACGGATACTTTTCCGAATACCTCCTCCACTCTCCTCTAATACCTTGACGCGCCTTCCGACACAACGGCAGCTCGCCCATGTACAATAGTTATGCGAAGATGCCTTTACCCCAAAATCGCTGCCTCGAGCTGAGACGCCGGGCAAGCGCTCACCAAGTCGCTTTTACCACCCACGCGTCTGAAGTATCTGCCATTGGCATTGCCAACGTTTCCATCCAAGAAGAACTGTCCTGCCGTTCAGGCCGACCTCTCTTTTTCATACTAAGCTCTTCAAGGTCACCTTTTATGTATACCTTATTCGACACCATGATGGGACCCACTTGCAAACCACGGTTCCATTCCTCCATTTCCCATAGTTATGTGACTTCGAAGTATGCGATGCTAATAAAAGGAAGATCCAGTCCCTGTAAATCGATCTCTCATATCATACTCGAACAGTCCGGAATTACCTATATTGCACTAAAGGTCAGAAACTGGAAGTCCTTGCGATTTGGGTCAAGATCACGTCGGTGCACAGCGACCACTCATCCAGACGAGATGAACAGCCAACCCGACTCCCTACTCAGAGCGCCGGTCGAATCATTCTGGGGATCGACCATGGCCGAGATCGGTTCCCACTCAACTCACACCACCCTTAGTGCACTGGACTCACTACCCTCGAATTTACCAATGGATAACGCGCCATCGTCAGTTTCCAACGACTTACCAAGCCAACCCATCTTCTCAACCCAGTCCGAAGAGATGACTTCTCCATCGACTACGAATCCGCACCTCCCTAACGAGCTGATTATCCAAATCCTCCATTACGCTCTTCATCTCCGCCCCGGCTCATTCGTGCCACGACTACCTGTTTGTTCTGATCGATTTCAGAGCCATGTATCCCGCAACGGTCGCTTGGGTAGGTATCTGGCTATATCCAAGTCACTCTATCCCCTCGTTCTAGAGGCTTTCTACCGCGAGAACGTGTTTCGATGCGCCACAGTCGCGAGAATGCTGTATGTGAAACCCTGGGAAAGTCCTGTCTTGCTGCCCCCACCACATGCCAGACAGCATATTCGGCGACTGGAGTTGATGATCTATTTGGACGACTCTAGTCGGGATTTCACCACTTCATACCAGTGGCACGCACTCGTCAAGCTTTGCTCTGGAAGGGCCAGACTTACTGGAGTCGAATTCTTGCGCTTGGTGATAAAAGAAGCCCCGGACATACATTGCGAAGAAAAAACTATTTTAAACCGACTAATGGATGAGGGTTTTGTGATTAGGGCGAAGAAAGAGGTGGTCATTGAAGGTTGGTGGCAGGCAGAGCCATTTATCAAGGTAGAGGCTGAGGTCGTGAAATGGGTATAACAGTACGTCAGGAGTAGAAGCCTCCCTCAAATTATTAGAAGTTATAAGGAACTTCACAAGTAAGCCAGGAGTTCTTTAATGTACTATCAGAGATCAATCATGCACCTAATAATTGAGCCTGAAGACTCACGTAGCATCGAAAATTATCGCATTGAAATATGTCACAATAGCCAAGAGGTACTCACAGTAATCACAAGTAACATTCACGATGCACAAAAGCATGTTGAAGAAGACAAAGGATCTTATTCTGCACTACACTATGGCAATGACCAAGCCAGGAGACGACAAACCCCACAGACCACCACAAACAATTCACGAATCTGCACAGAGCCCACTCAGCAGCAGGGCGGTCTTCAAGTCTGAGAGGCCAGCCTCGACGGTGATCTTGCACTCATCACGAGCGCCGATCTTGAAGCGAGCCTGGTGGTAGATAGCGATTGCCGCCTCCAAGTCGGGGTTGGTGAAGATTGGAACGATGTGAAGCTGAATCGTCCTCAGATTCTGCATGGTGCTCAGATCAGAGAGCTTCCGCAAGGTGTGGGCACCAGGGCAGTGCTTGAAGAGGTCGGTCGTGTTGCGGAAGTATATCTTGGTGTCGAGGATGCCGTCGGGCAGCACAATCGGCTCTCCTGCGTAGCCGTCGGTCAGGACAAGCTGCACCCGGATGTGGCGGAGGGAGTGGAAGACGTGGATAGGGGGCATGAGTGGCGTGCGACGTGATGTCTTGGAGATGAACTCGAAATGGTTGTTCTCGTAGAAAACCTCCAGGGCGACCGCCTGGAACTGGCCAGAGACGAGGCAGAGCTTGTGCAGTAAGCACTTGTGGAGCCAAGCGAAACGGCTGGCGTTCATCGGCTTGCCCTGAGGCGAGACCGTGGAGAAGATGAGGATGTTCATGAGAATCATCTTGAGGACCTCGTTGGGGAGAACAACGCTCCGACGAGGCGCGGGCGTAACCATTGAGATGGTGTTTGGAGAAGACATCGTGCTTGTAGCCGATGTGAGTGGAGGTGATGAGGGAGCGTGTTGTGCTTCGAGGTGTGTGAGGAGGTTTGAAAGTGCTCGGAAAAAGAAGTGTGAAGGCGACTTTGTACTGGAGAAGTGAGGAACTTTCAGGCTGAGGAAACTGAAGGGAGGCAGGGGAACGCCAGTTTATATAGACAGAGGGAGACCCTCTAGCGTCTCCTCCAGAAGAACGGTACGCCGCTGAAGAAGAGCGAGGAAGTCTGAAGCTTCCTAATTCTGCAGAATGGAAGCATGAAGTCTGCGATGAAATGGGGCCCCTGTCCTATTATATGGCCTCTGATTCGTTCTGGGGCTATCCATTCTGTGTCCTTCACCGTACTAGTAGCCTTCATATCTGACTAGGCCTCTTCTTTGGGCTCCGATTGGCGGCAGAAAGGCTACAGGAGACCTACTGGCAGTATGAACGCTGCCTTGGCAGTGAATAGATCACTAGTGGTGCTTCTTCCAGCGACGATGGAAGAAGGACGAATCGAGTATGTCCAGGACTAGATCTAAAAGGGGTAGGTGGCTTCCTTGGATATCCGTACGAGTCCGGCGAATCAAGACACTTGGACGACGGCGTGGCTCTGTTGGTACCAAGTGAAAGGGTGAGGGCTACGATGGTGGAAGGCTGAAGCAATCGCTGAGGTAGAGGAGCGTACCAAAGATTGGAAAAACAACTTCTAGAAGGCTGCACATGTCGGTAAGGCTGTGCCATCCTGCAAGAAGAGCTCAAGTAGCGTCTGGTACCTTCAATCTTGCTTTGCTTGCGGTGGAAGCACCGTGAAGCTGGCTGGAGTCAGCTATGGCGTTCGTTTGCCAGGTAGTTCTTTGCGTTGCACAGCTGGCTGCGTCCGCGGGGAAGCTGTTACCAAACACCGACCAGCAATATCGACACCAAAGTTTTGGAGCACCAGCTGCACCCCCAGTTGACGAAGCGACAGCACAGGAATTGAGCCGTACCCATCGCATACTTCTCACGAGACGAACCAGACTTTGCCCACAGTCGTTGCCGATGCAAGCTGCCGCGCCTGCTCCTCTCGAACCCCAACGACCCTCCCCCCTCTTCTCCGCAACGGCGGCGACAACGAGTTGAAGGAACTTGGACGAGATGACAACAAGAAGAATGCCCGAACAACTGCACTGTGCAAGATAGGCCAGCTGAGGAGACAAGAGTGGTGTCTCCGTGGCAAGAAAACTCTTCAGCTTCGACGCAGGAGGGTATCGCAACAAGCCAACGAGAAGGGACATGAAAAGTGGCTGTGGGAGACAGCGCGATGGCAGCATGAAGACGCCGTTCAATGCTCATCGAAAAGAGATCCAGAGAGCAGGCCGGGCACAGGCGATACCAGGACACCATGTAGGCAAACCTCAGCGGAGAAGAGCCATGTGAGCCTGGAGATACATTAGTCGGTGGCCACAGAGGACGGAATATGGCAAATCACGTTAGAATCATGGCAATAGTATCAGAGACAACAGGTCGCAGTCGCCACGCTGCGCGGCAGGACACACATCAGCGGACGCGAAAGTCGAGGTCCAGGACGAAGGGGTGCATGGGCGCATGGCACGCATACGAACAAGCTCGTGGTCTGGAACCGTACCTCGAACGTACCCCAGGATATACACTGCTACATCGTCCGTAGAGCGCATAACCTTAGGGTAAGTTTCGGTATCAGGATCGCGACACGTTGAGAACGAGTTTGTTCGTACTGTCGTGTGTCGCAGTACCGTGGGAGAGACCTGGGGATGTATTAGTTGACTTCAATGGGCGCAAAATTTCACAGTTCAATAGCAAGGCAATGAGGCAAGGTGTTGGTGTAGGAAAGATGGAGGTCTTAGGCAGCTGGGCAAGATTGAACTTCCGCCTTGGTCTGTGCACGCTAGCATGGTCATCTCCGTCGCCGGCCATGATCGCTCCCAGTCATCTCCTGCAACCTTGGCAATTACACACCGCTTTCCATGCGCGAAATCGACAATACATTGTGATATGCTATGACCAAGAGGTCCCATGCCAACATAGCCTCCTCGCAAGCAGAGCCTCCAGAGCGGCAGACGTCCTACGATGGGGAGCGTAGCGGAAGCCACGAGGACGGGGATGGCTCGTCGCTTAAGAAGCCGCGATCATTCATGGCGACCTTGGTATGTGGTCAAGAAATGACATGCACTGCTTTGCTGACTAGAGAAGGCTTGCGATATCTGCAGATCGAGGAAGACGCGCTGTGATGAAGATCGGCCAAGATGCGGCTACTGTAGGAACATGAACTTGGAGTGCACGTATCAGGCACCACGCAGTACGAAGAAAGACCAGTCGTTGACTTTGGCAATTAATGCAATTCGAAGACTGGAAGCAAAGATCGAAGACCTGACAACGGCGATCAATACGCCCAAGCCGTCGTCTACATTACCACTTTCGCCGGCAGGGCCTATCAACGACCATCAGTCACCCCACACCATCTTCTCACAACCAAGTCCAGGATATCAAGTCTCGGCGATGCCCTCCCATAATGGCAGGCTAAGCATACACGAATTAGCAATGTCGCCACAAGTCGTGGGATCTCCCGCCAAAAGTCCTTTCCCAGTGATGGAAGTTCAAGGCGCAGTAAATCTTTCCTTCAGCCAACATCGTGTCGCGCTCTGGCCGGCCATACAGCAAATACTCCCTAGCGGTTTCGTCTCTGTCCGAGCAGAGCTTCCGGAGGACTATATAGTCGATATTGAGAATCGGCGAGCGCACTTGCCGATACACATCGATCGTCCCTACGGCACTGTCCCTGAGAGCTGGCTGATGAGTCTCCCGCAATCGGCTGTCAAAGGACTTGCAGATGCTTATTTTGCCGTCTTCCACCGTAACACGCCGATCCTCGACAAGTATCATTTCTTCTCGAGCACACTAGGCACAGCTATGGAGAACGAGTTCGGGTACGACGTGGAGTCTGCGCTGGTACTCAACGTGCTTGCCTTAGGTTGCTTAGCTGTCAAGGCTCACGAGGAAGGCGACTTTGCTCTTCCCTCGCGCCACTCTCCAGCCAGACGTGGCTTCGTACACCCGGATTGGTACGAACTCGTTGCAGATGATCCACCGGGGCTCAAATTTTTCAACGAAGCAAGGCATCGCTTCGGCTTCCTCATGTGCGATAACGACGTTCAAGCAGGTCAGTTCTACATGCTTTCGACTCTGTATTATGCTCAGATTCTCCGGCCTCTCGATTCTTGGACCACCGTGAACAGGGCGGCTCTCTGTTGCGCTAGCATTCTCACCCGCACAGGAGCGATTGACTATGACACATGGGAGGGCGATATGCTATCACGACTGTTTTGGTGTACTTTGATGTACGAAACAGTCATCACACAGGAACTGGATCTACTTCCGCATAGCGGCCTATTAGACTACGAGCCAGATACGCCTCTACCGAAGTTTACCCAATGCCCACGGCCAAAGACGTCCATATCGGGATTGCTCACCGATGAAGAAGACTCTTTCTTCAACTTCCACTTCCTCGCTCAAGCGGCCCATCGCATCATCCTGACACGCGTGAAGCAGAGCCTGTATACTTTTGCGGAGAAAGATGGCTACCCGAGCGCCAATTTGACGGCCGAAATGCATCACCAACTAGAGCAATGGCGCGCAAATCTCCCACCGTCGCTCCAATTCTCCGACACCGACAACGCAAGTGACTCGCCCAGCCCTGCACACGTCATCGCGAAGGCCATGCTGCGAAGCCGCTACCTCGTCGCAAAGTTCCACATCGGGCGTCCGTTCCTCTACAAAGCGTTGCATGCACCAGCGTACACCAGTGATGCAGAGTACAACGAGGTGCGCGAGGGCCTTCGCGGTGGCATGTACTGGCCAACTACCATGGGTCTTTGCACGCAAATGTTGTCAGCTCTACCAATCAAGTTTGGGTGGTGTTGTCAGTGCTTTGGACAGGTGCTATTGTTTCATGCCGTAGCGCAGTCGCCAGACCCAAGATTACGAGAAACGCTGCCGGAAGGATGGCGCGAGTGGGTAGGTATCATGATGACCTTGATCGAGAGTTGTGCGAGAAGCAGTCCTGGTATTGCAAAGGACTACGAGCTATTGCGCTTGTTGGACGCCTAGCTCCAGAAGTGTAGTCTGGACACGGCCGCGAAACTCTACAGATTGCTGCTGTAACGTCAGTGTAGTCCGTAGGTATACAGCCAACATGATTAAATTCATAACGAGTTCGCGTGAGACCCTACGTCACGCTGCCAGACGTAACACGGTACCACAGATACTCGAGCCAGGCTTTTGTCAGCCGTCGTCGTCGCATTTGGGCACTCAACGTACGACTAATGCTGCGTTTCAGCAAAAGTCAATTGCGAGAAGGTCGAGACGAAGGAAGACACGATGAGCCTTGTTTGCGGTTTCCAGGATGCTCATGTCTTATGCTCCGACTGATGGTGATGTTTCAGCACCGCCGCACCCGCGTCGATCCTGCCATGTGCAGCCGAGTACGAGAGGCTTGCGTGTACAAAGTGGCTACTAAGCTGACTATCGTAAAGGCGCATGCGGCACCGGCTCGTGGGTCTAACCCAGTGCAAGACACATTGCGCACAAGAACCAAGCTGTGAATACATAACATCTCTGCATCTCAAATACTCCCATCGCAATCCCACATGCGTCGACGGGGAGCATAGCACAGCCACAGGTCGCGCATCCCAGATCTCGGCGTTTCAGCCTTCCAGCCCTCTCCCGGCGCGGCAGCTAAGCCCAATCAGACGGTAGTGGCCCCTGCATTGCTTAGGGATGGAAGCAAGGATCTACCGACTGACACAACTGCCACTAAACTGGGGGCGTGTCGGCCGCCTCCTTTGAGGCAGAGGGACACTTTGCTTGTCATCCTGCCTTTCTCACCACTCCTTTTTGGCACCCGGCGCAGCGCTTCTCCGGTCTCCACATACATTGTCATCTTTTGCGTGCACCGCCTTCTTTCCGTGGTGTCCACTACGCGACACTCGCTTTATTGTTGAGATTCGGCATCTTTGGGAAATTATTGGATTGGACAGGGCCAACTGGATTTGGATGCAAAAGAGCGAGGACCTGATACTCGACTTCCACGCGCAGGCGGACTGGATCGCATTTTAGGCCTCTGAACCCCAGAGGGCGAACCGCGACGATGGCCGACTACTCATACCAATCGCTGGCCAACATGGGACCACAAGGGAGATGGCGGCGTGTGTTGTTGATTGCCATAATACCCATGGCATTGGCTCTGATTTACTTCAGCTCTCCTTCATATGTGCCGAGCAGTCTTCGGGCACAGTACGTGTCGCGATCCTTGATCATTAGCAACAACTGACGAGGCGCAGATTTCCGCATACGCAAAACGTTTCCCTCCCCAAAGACGACATTTCGATGGCGACGATAATAAAAGCACTCTACGGCCCGATATTACATCCGATCGATGCCGCGAACTTTACCGACGAGGACGGAGATATATACAGACTCGCTGGGGAACCGAAGTTCAAGAGCAAGTTGGGCAAGAAGGTGCTTATACTGGATATCGACAGTCGGCCGTTGACGGAGAAGGGCCAGCTCATGGACCCGCAGTTGAAGTGGAAGGGCATGCGCTCGTTGAGTGCGGGTATGCTCGGACATTACATGTTTGGTACGTTTTCGACGGGACAAGAGAAAACACAGGGCCATTCGGCACGTGGAGTGGACAACGAGCGACTCGGCTAACATCTGACAGCGCAAATACACGGCTACGATTACAAGTTCATCCGCGCACCCGATTACGCCGACCGGTGGGGCACCTGGGTCAAGGTTCCCATGATGAAGGAGGCGCTCAAGACCCACGAATACATCGTCTTCATGGACTCGGATGTCATGTTTCACTACCCCCATCTGCCTCTCGAATGGCTGCTCAACTACTGGAACATGACCGACGATACCCTCGCGATGATGTCCATTGACCCGAACGAACCGCAAAACTACGATGCGAAGGGCAACCGATACTTGAACACTGGTTTCGTCATCGCACGACAGAGCAAGAGGACACAAGAGATGTACAAGGCCTGGGCGGAATGCCCTTCTGAGACCAAGTACAAGGGCTGCGCGCACTGGAAGACAGACTGGGCGCACGAACAGGCTGCTTTCGGAAACTACCTGCGCTACGACTACGACCGGCCGGACGACATTCGCGTTCTCCCCTGCGTCGAAGCCAACGGTGCACCCGAGGCTGCGAACCGAGGCGGCTGCAAGGGCGTCTTTGTACGACATTTCTGGGTTGATAAGGGCCTGGTGGCCAAGAACCTGGCGGACAGCGTCATGCAGTACTTCCTGCCGCGATTACACGAGGCGTACCTGGGCTCAGCGAGCGAGCACATCGTAGACGCAAAGGGCTTCAAGCTCGAGGGCGCGGAGCTCATCGAGATGACGGAAGAGGAGAAGGCAGCGGCCAAGAAACAACAGGGCAAGAACCAGAAAGATGAAGGGTGGTAGGACGACTCTGAACTTCGCAACGACCTTTGACCCTCACCTCGCGCACGCGCATCGCGATCTATTTCACCAATCTTGCGCCATCTACCGTACGACCTTTATATAACCATCATATACGCCGCTGCTATTTCATGGCAGCACTTTTCTGTCGGCGTCTACAGGCGTCTCATGTCTTATCGTCACGTCTTTGCACAGCGATTTTGAAAGCATGTTACATCATTATATTAGACTTGGGTGGGACGGGCATCAAAGACGGCTTTCCTTGATCATGTATGAGAATTGTTAGGCAAGACTAGCCACTTGAATACCACCTCTTTTCACGTTTTCGATTGCGTTGAGCAAATACGTTGGTGATGCACAGGTACGTGAACGTCTTTTGTTTACTGATCTGTACCGCAGATATCGTGTGCCGGCCAGGTGCCTCCTTCCCTCTCGGCGACATGACGCGCGCAACAACCCCGGGAACATGACGACGATCGGCTGATCTCCACGGACGTTACAAAGCCCGGGCAAGAACCACCAACCTTGCATAGGACATCACTTCACGCACCTTGCCGCCGACGCATCGCAGTGTCGAAGACAATCTGCAGTCGCATTGGCTTGCACTGCACCTTCCCCTCTCTTGTACGACACCAACGATAACGAGTATATTGCGGCATGGTACTTAGAGTGGAACAACTGGTTCGGGTTTAGACGCGGGAATCTGCTCTGCAGCGGTCACCGTGAGGGGCGACGACATGGATGCATTCCATCTAGTCACGCTTGCCAGATCTCGTTCAGTCCGCAAGAACGGGTACTTTCCTCTGCACTTCACTTGCATGTCCCGTCGATGCAGACATGAAGCATTCTATCGGCAGAAGATTGTTTGCAAGAAACAAAAGTTCCGGACACGTCGACAGCGGGCAGAAGCAGTCTATTGCCAGTTCCTCTCATTTGGAGTCTGCATCATTGATCCCTCTTGCAACGGACGAGCCTCAAGCGGTACCACAGAGCCCGTTACCCGACGTTATCGACGAGCCTGTTCAGAATCTATCGCATTCGACGACCATAATATCACCACAGTTTCAAGGACCACGCATCGAGAAACCAGATCTTTGGCTCCTGGCCCTTGAACGCTCTGAGCTAAACAATGAGCAGTCACTGGTACTCCTCAGTCCGCCTACTGGAGGTGAGACCGAGCCATGGTCTCCAGTTCAGTTCGTGCAGGAAGTCAAAGATGTCACTCGCGACCGGTACGTCGAGGGTGAAAAGAGCGGATGGTTCGCCAAAGCTAGAGGATGCAAAGCCGTCATCAAGCAACGGGCCGGGACAGTACTCATGGCCGTACTCGAGCTCAAAGATTTCGTTAGCGAAGGACTAAAGTACGATGTCACTGGATACGGTGCGACAGCATGGTCTATCATCACCTTCGGCCTACGGGTAAGAACTGGTACTGGAATTGATTGCTCGTGATATTGACAACGCGCATTAGCTTGTGCAGAATGATCTCGACAGGACACAATCCATATTCGAAGCTTCCGCTTTCCTGGCGGATCTCCTTGCACGCTACGCTAGTATCCTCCTGTCCGGCAAATCCAGCCAGCAATCCTTTCCAGAAACTGAAAAGCAATGTCTATATGGCCGCTCCCATTGTTGACCCACGCCACTAATCTGCTGAAACACAAACCATTCCAAGTTCTTCATACCTCCACCACCTTTCTTCTGGTATTCAGGTTAAATTCTGAGCTTGACCATCTTGTGAATGGCGCCATGCATCGGGTCACTGGACCTAATCTCCGCGCTTGATTCATTCTCGAGCTTCAAATGCTTTGGCTGCAGCACAACAGTCGCTTTGTTTGGCAGGTCAAGTAGTGCTTGTCGGTACTCATCGCTGTCACTGTTGATTTGTAAATGCAAGTGCAGAGAAGTGCTCAGTCGCACCGTCAATTCGGTGAGCTTGGGGAATTGAGTCTGCCAATCCTGCCCTCCTGCCTGCTGTGGCGCGTTGGGAGTAGCAGCTTTGTGGACAGGTCGGGGACGGAGAAGCACCAGCCAATCGTTCTCAAACGACGGCTCCAGGCACTGTGCCGCGTCGTCAATGCGACTGTACAACTCCAGCTGTATCACCAGTTTGCGAACGTGACTACCGAACACAAACGGAGGGAAACGCCACTTGTCGTCGTCGCCCGGGGCTGAGTGCCCCCAGGACTTGCTAGAGCGCCGAACGACAAAGGTGTTGCCGCTGTAGTACACTTCTGCCGCAAGGGCATGCATGCGCTTGTTGACGAGTAGCAGAGTTGGTAGATTTAAATCTTCCTCGATGGCTTTGTGGTTCCTTGCCATGATGAAGTTCTTGGTGCCTGAGGGCGTACGTGAGGATTTGGAGCTTGAGCTCGTCCGGAAGGGCGTCGAAGCCGGCGCGAGTGCCGCCGGAGGGCTTGTTCTGAGGCATTGTTAGCTTTGCAAGAGGGAGTTAAACAGATGAGGTAGCCGTGAGGTTCGGCGTCTGGTGTGTTGTAGCAGAGAGAAGGAGCCGGCGATGTGAGTTGTTGACGTGCCAACTAGTGCGTGCGTCATTACCGCAAACGCGACAGGTGAGAGCAAAAAGCTGCGGTGACCAGTACTCAGGCAACAGCCTCTGCGTTTGCTCCATATGCTCAGCTCGTAAGATAACGGCACCATTGATAAGAAAAGCGGTGTCAGAGCGGGATGAGTGTGGCCGTAGACTTTGTTCACCTCTCTTTTTGCCTGTTCGTATCACCCCAGTCTTGGACTTGGTACGAAATAGAGCAATTAGCATGCTACTCATCACTCTTGAAGCGCCAGCTGTGTCTCCTAAAATAACAATGTTACCTCCTGCTCAGCACATATGGCTACTTAAAACCTTATGCGTCTTCGTTGTCGTTGCTAGCAGCTTCCAGTGTTCAATGATATCGGCGTGCTCATTGCAATAGACACGCGCAATGCCATTGGAGCATTCCAGCGTCAAGTCAAGTTCCACCTCCTTTGCCTTGAACAACGTCTTTGTGTCAGCTAAGCACACTCTCGTTTCCTCTATCAATTCAGGCGACATACAACAGTCTTCATCACCTTCTGTAACATTGTCATCATCAAAGAAGTGGAAGCTGAGCTTCAGAGTATGCAGATTCGTGAATCCAGTTTGCCAGGCATTGTCGTGGGGTGCTGTCATGAGCCATCGCGTTCTCACGATTGGTAGAGGCAGGCCCAGTTCGTTCGATTCCAGTAAGGGACGTGTTGCCTGAAGCATAAAGGCCAAAGGTTGTGAGTTGCACAACAGTATACGCTCCAGTTGTGAAACATCCATGGTGTAAGCTTTAACGGTAACGCGGAGGTGCCGAATCATGCTTGCTATTTCTGCAGGAGGGTAACGAAAGGTGACTCGTTGGGACGAAGGAGAGGTTTTCTCCTCGATACAGATTTCGAAGACATTGTTGTTGTAGTATGCGGTCCGGGCCAGCCGGTACAGTTGCTTGTTGCGCACCTCATAGATAGGTTCCATATGTCTGCGGAAGATGACTGAATAGTTACTGTCTGGCACGGGGCTTTCAGAAATGTTACCCACGATAAAGCATAAGACGATAAGTTTCAGCTCCTCAGGGAGGAGCGGCCATTTCCTAAACGATGGAGACGCTGTTGCTGTTGTGATGTAGTCTTGATCTTGCTGGGTCATTGTCGGCATACGACTTTCAAACTGGTTGTAACTCAAGGTCAATGAGCATATCTTATACCATAGCTAGAAGTTTGCTTCTGTATGTCAGCTGAGCATATAATCTGCCCAGTCACTGTGACTGACCCGCTCAGACTTCATGCTCAATGTCAGCGACCCTTGGCACCCTGTGTAGCCGCAAGCCACAGAAGCTGGCGACAAGCTCGATCTATGCCTGGTCAGTGCACGCTACGAAACGTAGGTTGACTGTTGTCTTACGCATTGCTGGATTGTCTCCACGTCCTCTTTACTGACGCCGATGCGCCTTGTCCCGCGCAAATGCCAGGCTGTCTCTCTCGGCAAATTTTGTATCATGATGCCGCTGAGTACGGTGAGCTCGGTCTCGACGTCGTTGAGGATGCTGTGATCGGATAGATAGAGGCCGTAGGTGATTTGCTTGCTCGTCCAGTCTATAGTGTGTTGGTTCAGGGTCAGGAAGCGGCTGGGCGCTACATACCGAAATCCTTCTGTGATGCCAACACGTTGTCGATGCCCTCCTGGTTATGTTGGTATAAGCGACCTTGCCATGCTGCACCACGTTTTGAGTTGGCTTCATCACACTGCCATCCCTCTCTGCTTGTTGTCAGCTTCCGCAATCGCCTGCTAACAGCGCACGACTTCATACCTAGAGAATGTATAATCCTTGTCCTCTGGCCTCGTGATGGCATCGATGTCGAATATGGCTTCCAACGGCTTGCACACGCCCACAATGACGATGAGCTTGAAAAGTGTCTCTCGTATCCTTCGCATCAACGCCTGGCGCTGTTCAGGTGTTTGGCATTCGGGTCGCTTGATGAGTTCCTTGTAGAGCAAAGGCGCGAAGCCCGGCTGCCCGCCGCCTACCATCGCCGCGAGCTACAACGGCTCAGTCAGTGTTCTCATCTGTGTATGTAAGACATGCCATACCAGAAGAACATACCACTTGTCATCTCCAAGTGTCTGCGATGGAAATTTCTCCTCGATAGCCTTGAACAGGGCAAGAGCTTCGCCGTCGGTTGGGTCGCGTGGTATCGGGATAGTGCTGGTCGACATGATGCTGTTTTTGCGCTCAGGGAGGAAGTCGAAGTAGGATGTTGCGCCTTGCGGGATGTTTGCTGACTGTCGTCATTGCGTGTTCCGATGGTCGGGATGGACGAGTAGGACCGATCGCGACTGCGACGCGTCTTCGGAGGGGCGCGTCGCGCTAAAGCGGGGTAAACCTCCACCCATCACCACGCTCCACGGAGAGATACGTCTTTCCCCGGGGGCAGCCTTTTCTCTCAAACCACTCACATACACGCTAGAACAAGTCTGGAATATCTGAAAACCACACTGGGGTGGTATGCTCATTTTGTATCAAACATGAATACAAGCGCTTCATGCTATCACCTTCCCAACAACAAGCCCAAGACTGTCATCATCACAGGCGGCGCAAACGGCATCGGCGCCAAAACTGCCCGTACCTACCATGGCCATGGCTGCAATATCATCATAGCTGATCTCCCTTCCTCCAGTGATGCTGCCAATGCCCTCATCGCATCTCTCACAGAGCCATCACGGGCCCAGTATCACCCCACCAATGTCACTAGTTGGCACGATATACAAGCTCTCTTTCGAGAGACGAAAAAGACGTTCGGTCAAGTCGATATCGTTGTTGCGAATGCAGGGACGATGGAGAGTACGGGTTTCTTTGACTTCGAAGAGGACGAACATGGGGAATTGATGGAGGCGACTGAAGCTAGCAGGGTCATCGACATTAATCTCAAGGGCACTATGAACAGTGAGCTACATTGTCTCACTAGTACTCTCCTGGTTTATCTCTGATATCATGTAGCTGTCCGGATGGCTATGCACTCCATGAAATCAAACCCACCGGACTCTGACGGTGCACGAGGCTCTATTGTACTTATCGCCTCAACGTCCGGATACTTTGGCGGAACCGGAGTAGTCTCATACGTTTCCTCCAAGCATGGCGTAGTAGGCTTATTGAGAGCCTCACAATCAGTTGCCCGGAAGCTAGGCGTCCGACTCAATGTCGTTGCACCCTTCTTTACCCCTACGCATATTACCTCGGGTTACTCAGAGAAGTGGAAAGAGCGCGGCCTACCAGCAAACACAACAGAGGACGTCGCTAATGCCATCGTTTCTACAAGTGTGGATCCTGCAAGACAGGGTCATAGTATGATGGTGAGTTGCGATGACTCGAAATGTAGCGAATAAGTAGTGCTGATCGATTCACAGGTTGCAGGCAACTTGGTAAGAGAGATCGAAGAGCCAAGAACGGCATGGACGAAAGATTGGCTAGGAGAAGAGATTTCTGACATCATGGCGAGAGGTGGCAAGTTTTTCAATGATCTAGGCGGTTACACACTGCCCCAGGCACAATCTTGAGAGCTCTTGCGGGCTTGTTCCATAATCTGATGAAAGCTGGAACCAGATCTTGGCCGTCACTGCACATCCGCACTCATGTCACACCACTTACTCTGCCGCAATATTTCCAATCACGAACAGATCTTCCCTAAAACTCCCCTCTACCCCATCACTACCGACTCAACCAACCCGACCCCTACGCATCATGGAACTGAAACTGGAAATCAGACTGTCTCGGACGACGAAGATATCTTCACTCCCGCAGTGAAAGAAATGCGAAAGCACCTCGAAGCCATGGAACCAATCATTTTCCGCACATGCAAACTAGAGGTTACTTACAAGCATGCTTGGTTTCTTGTCAAAGTACCAGGAGTACCACATTTCCAGATCTGCGATCCTATAGAAGATCTGCTCCTGGAAAAGATCACTATAGCTAAAGCTGAAGGCGACAAAGTGAATGTGTGTCGATACCACGGATCCACGCACTCAATTAAGCCAGACAGGGAATACGTGGCTGCTTGGCCAGCGAGAGATGTGTTTCTTAGGCCCGGCGCACGCTATGTCTTCAACTTGAAGCGCACTTCAGTCAAGCTTATAACTAAGTAAATGAGAAAGCCGAAGATAGTACCTGAACAAGAGGGCACTGAGGTAGGCGTTCATCTAAATCTGTTCTATCGTATCAATGAATGTGATGCGCGGCCAATACTACCCATGCGTACATGTTGTCAACAACCTCGGCAGCAGCGTCTAGGACGTTACTGCAGGTGCCTCGAGTCTAGCGGCGAGAACTTAACGGGCCTGTATGTCGGCTTTGATGGCGTCGGTTATATCTCGAAATTTGCGCATTGAATGACCGAATTGTTATTGGGCGATGTGTAGGAGTAATAGACTTCACGAGGCGATCACAGGGTTCATTTTCGTCTTAGTAATCCTCGAGCGAGCTTTGGCCCGGTGACGTTTTCTACAACCCTCAGTAACACCCACCTTCTACAATCTGTCCAAACGCCAATTGAAGCCTTACGACAGACTGTCTGTACCATGGCGTCCTCAAGACTAGTTGCTCGCTCATCGCGCGCTCTCCTCTCCCTCCCGCGCACCCAATGCCGCACATTCAGCATCTCTACACTCCGTAGCAATGAGTTTGAAGCTCTCAACAAGCGCACAAACGACACCTCCGAGACGTACCGCAAATACCAGATTGAGAGACCTCTGAACCCTCACCTGACCAACACCACATCGACCATTGCCAATGAGATGCCTTCAATTGGCAATGACGCAGCCCCGCCCGAGTTGATCACCAACGCCGACGCCGACTTTGCACCCAAGGATTCTGTGCCCGAGAACACTGAGCGCATGACCGGCGGTACACAGGGCAGCAAGGACCAGGACGTTAGCGGAGCGAACAGCGAACTGGGTGTTGGCGAGATGGAGGGCGCCAAGTTCAAGGTCGAACCTATCCGCAGGACTGGCGAGGACGCGAACACCATGCGTGCGAGGTTATTATGTCCGTTCATACACTGCCCATCCCCTATGCCCCATAAAATACGCGATTTGAGTACCAGGACGAAACATGGCTAACGGAGAATCAGATCAGAGCCGCAAGAGGGGAACCCTAGAAAGTGATCTCCTCCTCAGCACCTTCGCCGACGCCCACCTAAGCACCATGTCTCCCTCCCTGATGCAGCAATACGACACCTTCCTCGACGAGAACGACTGGGATATCTACTACTGGGCGACTCAAGAACCCACACCTACGTCTCACGAGACAGCTGAGGGTGGTGGTGCTGCCATGTCTAACCCCAACGCACAGGGCATGGACGCGACGGCACAGACGAAGCTGCCCGAGAAGGACGAGCGTAAGAGACAACCCGGCGAGGGCGAGTGGGCGCAGACTGTTGGAACTTTCAAGCCCGCATACAGGCCTGTGCCTAGCAGGTGGAAGGGCAGCGAGATTCTCAGCTTGCTCCGGAAGCACGTCAACGAGCGCAAAGCGGGAGGCGTCATCGAAGGCGAAGGCACCACAAAACAGGAAGGAAAGGGCCTCGGCATGATGCCTGAGATCAAAAACTTCGACCAGTAAAGCAGAAATCGCGCCTTTGTCACCATATCCTGTAGGTTTGCTGTATAAATAATGCCCACAACTGCCCCTACGCTTTCTCTCCTGCACGTCTACGGTCTGTTTCACTCACAGACCATTTGCGCACTTCTTCCGGGATCCTTGTCACAGTCGTGCACTTCCAATATGAACAAACTCACCCAGACAAAACACGATCCCCAAACCCTCTTCCCAATACTACGAGCCTAGCAAGACACTCATAAGCTACTTGTTCCGGAACTCGTTCCTCCGCCCGCTCCCACGTGTTCCGCGGCATCCTAGGCTAGATTTCCTCCGGGCCTTTATGTCATTACCCCGGTCCAGCTTCCCCACACGGCAAAGCTCGCCTCGGTAGTTCATATGTTTCGAAACTGCGCTTTGTATACTGTCCGCGGCTGTTATTGGAGGAAGTACTGTTGTTTATGCATTTTGTTTAGTAGTCTGGTGTCACGCTCAAATGCACACAGCTAACGGTGTAAATTGGAGGGGATGCGTTGCCACATGTAGAGGTTTGTCCGTACTTCTAAAACGTTCTTGATCACTAACAGGCTATATGACGGTCAGTAGTATATAGCTGCTGTGTCCTTGGAAAGGTAAGGGCCATCTATCTCAGTATCGATCACTCTCACGATGCGGTTCACAGCCCTCCTCCTCTTCGCCAGCACGGCACTCGCAGCGCTCCCCTACAAAGGCGCAGACTGGTCCTCCCTCCTGATCGAAGAAGCAGCCGGTAAAAAGTACAAAAACGCCGCCGGTACCGTCCAGCCCCTCGAAACCATACTCAAGAACAGCGGCGTAAACACTGTGCGCCAACGAATCTGGGTGAACCCATCCGACGGAAACTACAACCTCGACTACAACATCAAACTCGCGAAGCGCGCCAAAGCAGCCGGCCTAGGCATCTACCTCGACTTCCACTACAGCGACAACTGGGCGGACCCAGGTAAACAAGTCGTGCCCGCAGCGTGGAAGTCGCTGAACCGCGAAGCCCTCATCAAGCAAGTATATGACTACACGAAAAACGTACTCAACACCTTCGCTACCAACGGCATCGCCCTCAACCTCGTCAGTATCGGCAACGAAATCACACCCGGACTCCTATTTCCCATTGGCCAGCTCTCCGGCACCGATGGACCGAAGAACGTCGCTGCCCTGCTCAAATCCGCATCCAAAGCTATCAAGGAATCGTCCATGAGCCCCAAGCCCAAGATCATGATTCATCTAGACAATGGCTGGAAGTGGGATACGCAACAGTGGTGGTACGACACCGTGTTGGGCTCAGGTGGCGGGCTATCGGCTGCAGACTACGATGTTCAGGGCGTGTCTTACTATCCGTTTTACAACAGTGCTGCCACATTGTCTGCGCTAAGCACGAGTTTGAACAACATGGCGAAGAAGTATGGTAAGGAGGTCATGGTTGTGGAGACAAACTGGCCGAGCTATTGTCCTAACCCGTCGAACGCTTTCCCTGCGGACGTGAAGAGTATCCCAATCAGTGTGGACGGACAGACGCAGTGGATGAAAGAGGTTGCGAAGCGTGTCGCTTCTGTGCCGAATGGTAAGGGTACTGGCCTATTTTACTGGGAGC